TTTGAGATAACGCATTATTCTTTTTACAGCTTCCCAATGCGCTCTACCAGGATTTATTCCGAATCGGCTCAGGATATTCACAGCATAGTATATATCAGGGCGCGAAACCTGAGCAGCGTACAACAAGCATCCAATAGCTTCCATATACGGTGTTTTCGACATTTTTTCCTTTTCAACTTCGGTTTTAGGGGACATACTTTCGTATAACTTCTTATTATAGTCCATTGGAGTTGAGGAAGGGTTACAGTCATTCATTCCGAAACGTGTCAATACATCTGATATGTACTTAGACTGATCAATTTTGATTCCATCTTCAGTTCGGGATATTGTCATACCAAGAACATTAGACACTTCCCCCATGTCTTTCATTTTAAATGTTCTTGAAAGTGTATTCTTGACAGAATTTATTTCGTTTTCGTCATTGGAGAATATAATTACATCATCTACGTATATTGCAATATAAATCTTCTTTTCATCTGTCACCTTTGAATATACGCATTGATCCACTTCTCCTTGTACAAAACCCATATCGATAAGTTCCTTGTTTATGGTTTCATTCCATACTCTCCCAGATTGTTTCAAGCCGTATATGGATCTGTTAAGCTTACAGACTTTATTAGAAGCATCACGGAAACCTTCGGGTTGTTCCATATATATGGTTTCTTTTAAAATCCCGTTTAAATAAGCGCTAACGGCATCCATCTGATGAATCTTCATGTCATATTTTGCTGCCAATGCTGCTAAATACCTTATTGATTCATACCGAACAACTGGAGAGAATGTTTCCATATAATCGATACCTTCAGTCTGTGTAAATCCCTTTGCGACTAGTCTTGCTTTCCATCGCAACGTGTTTCCATTGGAATCTTGCTTGGTCTTGAACACCCATTTTGACTTCAGAGCTTTGCATCCTTCAGGAAGTTGAACCAAAGTCCAAGTATTATTGACTTTCAAAGAATTCATTTCATCTTGCATGGCTTTTTTCCAATGTTCAGAATCTTCAGACGACATTGCCTGTTTTATAGTCTGGGGGTCTGAAGAAACATATTCTATTGCAGAAAATGCCGTTGATCGTTGATTACGGTTTGCTATCCTTTCTGATCTTCTAATATTTTCAGACGTTGGTATTGGTCGTGAATTACATTGATTTGGTTCCCATTCTTCATCATTTGGGTCCACATAGCCATTGTTATCAAAACATTCTGAATCCAAAAACTCACTATCAGTTTCAGAATCACTACGAGGCTCATTTTGAATTACATTATTGCCATCCAATTCGGTTGACTCCATATTCGTTGATACATTATTCACTGTTTGGTTCAAAACATTATCCATTTCTTCATCTGGAGATTGAATTAGCAAAGGATTGTACAGATTAGAAGATGGCGTTTCAATGTTTGAGTGAACATTTTCAAGAAATACCACGTCACGGCTAACAATTATTTTTTGATCACTTGGATCAAATAATCGATACGCTTTACTTTCCGTGCTGTATCCAACCATGATACATTCTAATGACTTTGGATCAATTTTAGATCTTCGTTGTTTTGGTACATGGACCAAAGCTGGACATCCGAAGACTCTAAGATGCTTCAAATTTGGTTTTCGACCCGACCATAGTTCTTCGGGACATCCTTCATTTCCTCGGCATGGCACTCTATTTATCAAGTACGATGCGGTAGAAGCAGCTTCTGCCCAAAAACGTTGATCTAATCCACTGTCGATAAGCATACATCTTACCCTTTCTATAATCGTCCTATTTATTCGCTCGGCTACACCATTTTGCTCGGGTGTATATGGACATGTTTTTTGATGTATTATTCCACTTTTTTCCAAGAATTCAGAAAAATGTTTGCCGGTGTACTCACCCCCATTATCCGATCGTAGAATCTTGATTTTTTTAGAACACTGGTTTTCCACTAAAGCCTTGAATTCTAAAAATTTCGGAAATACCTCAGACTTTTTCTTGATTGGATAGACAAACAGTTTTCTTGAGTAGTCATCCACAAATGTCAACAAAAAACGAGCTCCCGAGAACGAACTTTCTTTTAGTGGACCAACAACATCCGAATGAATAATTTCCAATAGCTCTTTGGCTTGAGTACCGACTTCTCTACTCACTTTTCGGGTTTGCTTTCCCTTCACGCAGACAACACATGGTTCAGAACATTCTTTGCCAAAATTTATGCCAACATTTGCGCTCTTGACATCACCCAGTTTCGCATTACAGATATGCCCCATCCTTCGGTGCCACAAATTGAAATCATTGGCCATGGTAAAAGCTTTACCCTTTTCCTCTTTCGAATTGCATTCTAACCGGTACAATTGATTCTGCGCAGTTGCCGTTGCTATAACACGTCCATTTTTATCAGAAATGCGGCATTTTTCACCTTCAAAAGTCACCCTTTTTCCATTCTTAGCCATTTGTCGAACGGAGAGTAAGTTGGTACACAAATCTGGAACATACTCCACGTCTTTGATTGTAACACATCTCTTATTTTTTCCAGAGCCAACTTCAATATCAACATATCCAATGGAGTCCACTACGAGTTCATGCTTATTTGCAATAATCACCTTTTTATTAAAAACATCACGGATGTTGTACATGTGGTTCTTCTCATTCGTCATGTGGTTGCTTGCTCCACTATCAACGTACCAGGCATTTAAACAATCTGAACTTGAAGTGGATTCCGTAGCTTTTGCACACGCGCTCACATCGGTAGTTGTAGCAAATAAAACATCCGACTTCTTTTCATGCTTCCTTGTAGCTCCATTGTCATTTGGCTTCAATTTGCTGGGACAATTTCTTGAGATGTGTCCAAGTCCACTGCAATTGTAGCATTTGATTTGCTTCTTACCTTTCTTGATACCTTTAGATTGTAACGCCGATTCTTTTTCTGGAGCTCGATCGAATTTCGCATCTTGAAGTAGAACATTCTTCACCTTATCCACCGTCAATTTTTCCTTGGTATTTTCCACGGCCATCACAAGCGGTTTAAAGTCATCCGTTAATCCAGCTAACATTAGAGATGCAGTCAACTCATCGTCAATGTTTAAGCCAGCATTTTTCACTTTAATAGCCACTATAACGATGTCATTGACGTATTCCTGAATGGATCCATAGTTCTGTAGCTTGATGTTCACAAATTGCTTCAGCAATTCAACTTTTCTGGTAAGGCCCGTATCTTCGTACGCATTCATCAATGCACTCCAGGCATTTTTCGCGGTAGTTGAAGTTGCAATGTGGCCGTAATTGTCTGGTTCAATCATCAATGTTATCTCGGCTAAAGCTCTCGCATTCAATTCAGCATCAGCGGTATTATCAACACATGCCTTCCAGCACCCTTTAATGACCAGATATGATTGCGCTTGCCTCTTCCAAACATCAAAGTTTTCGCGTCCACGCAATCTTTCTAGCGGAAAAGCTATGTTATTACCAGCCATTTTAATTTTTTTTCACAAACGTCACTAGTTTTCAATATTAAAAAAATGTATCTATTTTGTTTTGCCGAATATTTTTTTCAAACGTGACTAAGGCCCATAACCTGTTATAATTGAATTCGTTTATTGAACTGAAAAAACTGAGAATACATATTTGACAACAAACATATTGATATCAAAGCCTATTAAGATTATGTTAATAATATTGGACAAAGTGTTTTATGCTAAAGTACAATATTTGATTCAATTCTCAACAAAAATATTACATCTTAATATGACTTTCAATGTGCCTCTCAATGTTAATTGCCTCTTTGACAAAGAAAAAAAAGCGGTATAACTTGGGATGACTCACCCTGGTCATCATACAATAGTGGAGTTTAGAATCGATCACACCAAAATTGTATAGGTCAATGGAATGCATGGTTTTTGTTGAGTTTAGGGCAGGGGCAGTGGCTCACATTAAAAAAACTCATCCTAGTTTAGGGGTTATGTTCAGATCTGATCGATATTGTTAACACTTTGTGTATTCCAGAACTGCAAGAATGTATTAACGGAATGTTTTTACTACGACAAGTCCGGTTTTTTCCATCGTCATTTGAAAGATTATAAAAATGCCTATCCAACAAATAGTAAGACAAGAAAAATATTAATTTCGTACTGTGATATTAAAAAACAGAAAGTGGCGTATTTAAGGGAGAAAATATGTTAGGAATTGTAAGAGTTTTGGTACATATGCCACACTTTGGAAGGGCTAAAGTGTAGACTTTGTATAAATTTCTTATTGCGTAACCTATAATGAGCCCATTTTCTAAATTTTAAAGGGAGTTTAAAGGACTTCTGGAGTTATAGATTTTCTTATATTACGTCTGAACCGGTATGTATATATATATATTCAGGGTTTAAAATCCAGCACCTATTGAAATTAGCATTAAAGTGCAATTGTTAATAAATATTGACAGCCACGGCTAAAGTAGCAAATGATAAGCTGTTAAGCTCAGCGCATTACTATTTAGCTCGTTTTTGATAAGGTAACTATTTTTATTTAGCCCTAACCGACAATAAAGCAACACTTTTGTAGTTTTCAACTAGTTGTGATACTTATTGGCTAAATTGCTCTTTCATTGCAGCAAGAATGTAAATGTTTTTACTACGACAAGTCCGGTTTTTTCTGTTGTCATTTGAAAGATTATAAAAATGCCTATCCAACAAATAGTAAGACAAGAAGAATATTAATTTCGTACTGTGATATTAAAAAACAGAAAGTGGCGTATTTAAGGGAGAAAATATGTTAGGAATTGTAAGAGTTTTGGTACATATGCCACACTTTATAATATTTAACAAGATCAACGCACTAATTTTGTTTTTTTTTTTTCAGAATTCCGACAGTATATTAACGAAAATTATCCATTCGTGCTGGATTATTATTATAAAGTTGGTGAGATAATTGGCAATAGCAATTTGCGTGAAATTGACGCAACAGTCTGGAAATCGGATCAAAAGAAGAATAACTAAAAAATCACAATAATAAAATAGTTTATTTTAAAGAGTGGAAAGTGTAAATGGCTTCTAACCCATACGTAAAGTCTTTAATATGGTTAGTGGCTTTTGGCGGCATAGGTTATGGGCTTTTACGTTTAACTGAACCCTCGGAGGAAAAACTTGCTAAAATACGTTCAACTACAGCAGGTGTTTATTTAAGCGAAGACGAACAGAAGAAGATCCAGTTTTTAAAGAAATTGCAATCAGCTGCTGCAGAAAACGCCCCCGTGTATTCGAAAAAGAAGGAAGACAATTAAAGACATATCTTACCTTCAAACGTTAAATACTATTAGCAAACATGAGTAGCACTCGACTATCTATACCCAATGTGGATAACGAAACACTAGATGGCAACGCAATTTCAAAAAAGGATCAAATATTAGAACGACTCAATAAGCGCAATAAGGAACGTCAAAATTATCTGGATGTGAAATTGGAACAACGAAATAAGGAGACTTCAGATGCGGAAGGCGTGGATTACTTTTCACAAGCATTTGCCGATAAAGTAAGGGAAATCGAAGCACGCATTAAAAATCTTAGCGAAACATCGGCAAAGAAGAATCCAGGCGAAAATTCCAGCATTGATTTGGCACGGCATTTCACGGAAATAACATTGGAGATACAGGAATTACAACGATATCTAACTAACTCAACAATGTTTCTTACAGACTTCAAGATCAAGGCATGCCAAAGTATTGTAAATGATTTATTGCAGTCATGCGAAGAGGCGAAAGTAAAACTTATGCCGAAAAAGAAGTTTGGATTTAGTGGACGGAAAGTCACTCCAAAACCATGTCTAAATCCCAAACTTAGTAAAACTGACAATGTAGACGGAGCAGAAAAAAATGAACATATAAGCACGATTACAGGAAGCAAAGTTAGCTGGACACTCAGCAATAGGACTAATGAGTACATTTGTCTGAAGGGCGATGAAGTTCATAGCAAAGATATAACTATTGCACATTTACAAAATTGTTTCGTGGAACTCCAGGGGCCGGCTGGTTCAGTTCAAATATCTCACTGCTCCAACAGCACTTTCCTTTGTGGGCCTATAGCCCGTTCGTTGTTTGCAGATTTTTGTACAAACAGCACACTAAGTGCTGCATGCCAACAAATGCGACTACACTCCTCTGAACAGTGTCAAATATATCTGCACGTCACCTGTCGTGCCATTATTGAGGATTGCAGTAAAATAGGAGTGGCACCCTACAACTATGACTACACGGGCATTGATGAAGATTATAATCATGCCAAAATCAATAAAGAAGTCAACAATTATACGGATATTGCCGATTTTAACTGGCTTTCGTCGGAGGTGGCCTCTCCTAATTGGCATCTGATCAAGGATTTTCATGCCATCAATTGGGTTCAGAAACGGCAAGAATTTTTGACTAGAAACATGGATAATGCATCTTTATAGTGCTCAACAGCAAGACAAGCGTAGCCCGAGCTTCAAAATTTATACCACTGTATTTCGTTATCTAGTTTATTTTGCAATTTTTCCATTCTACTCCCATAAAATTTCTCTAAAAATTTGCGACTGGTAGCTCAAAAACTGTACCGCAATAAAAAAGCCACAACACTCAAGCACTTTATATGTACTTTACTTTTTTCACTAACATGAATCTAATTTCATTTCCTAAATAAAATATTTTAAACAACATAGCTCAAACAGTTTTTTTATTTAAACTTAGCTTGTGGCCACAATGTCCAAAAAGGTGTAAACAAACAATGCATTTGATTCATTACTGCACTATGATCGAAATTTTGTGCTGCCAACATTTCAAAATCAGAAAACTTTCCCTCATGGTAGAATCAAGGGGTAAAGTCATGCAATCATATTTTTACAATATATTCAAAAATTATTAATTTGACAACATCCCATTGTCAAAATGTGTACACCTAAGTCTGTTTTTACACGGTAGATTGGTTCCAGAAGAAGCCGTGTAAAAAAGACATTGATCTTATACAAAAATCGGTGATTTGTTCCTAATCTCTAAAACCTATTAAAATTAGTGAAAAACAAGAATTTTTATTTTTTTTCTTTACCAAACACGTCTTATTGCATTAACAGTTCACAAAATATTAACACTTTTCAATTGCTCTGACCAGTAAATTTTATTGTATGCACATAGTGCTATTCACATTTGCTTTGACCAGTAAAAATTGTTTGCACACGCTAAAGGGGAATTCACTTAAATCTTTAAGCTAGTGTTCGCAAACTATCGATACTATGGATGGTTTCAGACTTTTTTCTTTCATAAATACTTTTTTGTGATATGAACATACTTCGCAAAAATTAAATTTGACAAAAAAATTTAAGTACATAAAATTTCAAATCGTGCTAAATGGAATAAAATCGTGTAAATAAATTAAAAGTATTCAATTTTCAAACCGTGTTATATCAAAACCGTGTACAAAAAGACCGTGTAAAAACAGACTTAGGTGTATTTATAAATCCATTGTACATACACAAATCAGAGATGGGAACCTGTTTTTATGTCGTAAAATGTGACAAGGCAAATTACAAAAAAAGCCGAGATGGGAATGCTTATTTGAAATGACTTAAACTTCTTAATGTTAACATGCTTTCACTGTACTATGACTGTGAAAACAACACAGCACGGATGGTAGTCACTAACACAAATCTTTCTCTACTGCGATGAATTCCATATCACATAGTTTTGATTGGACTGTGGCTGCGAATGTAAAGATAAGTGTCTTGCATAAAATATAGTAAAAAAAAATAGATAAGCAATATGCTGAAAACCGCCTTTGAGCTTCGACTTCCAAGGTCAATAGAAAAATGCTATCTAAAAAAAATAATCTGGATTTGTCCAAAGTGTTGCCCCAATGGTTTTCCACTTACATCCATTTTCCATAAAATTATAAAAGTAATTGAGTGGTATCTGTAGCACATTACCGAAATTTGGTCTGAGAGTGAGGGTAAAAAAGTTTACTTTTTTAAATAATGAGCTTAAGGTCATTGTTAAGTTTATATGTTATTGATCACAATAAAATATTCAGGGTTAATATTAACATAATAATAGTCAGATTAACAAAACAGCTATGCATATGATATTGGCCGGTAACCTCATTTCAAATAAGCATTCCCAGCTCTGCATTTTCTGTAATTTATCTCGTCAGGTTTCCCATTTTTGATTTGTGTATATTCAATGGAGCTATGAATAAACATGTTGACATTGAGATATTGTCAAAGAAATCATTTAAAAAATGTAAGCAAATTATTGCATGACTTTTCTTTCTTAGTTCTACCAATGGTACAATAAGAAGGTAGAACAGCTTCGTAAAACTACAGAAATATAACCCTAAGGCTATGCCCGCATCATGTCAGACTCGTTCAAATTATATACAACAAGTTGTTTTAAATTTTTTTATATTTTCCCTCATTTGTAAAATGAGTTATATAGAGCGAAAAATGAATGAAATGTCTGGATTTTCTCTCAAAAATATGATCCAAACTGTTCAATCTTTCAATTTCATGGCTAAACTGGTTAATAGCTTTAATGCGTGAGCCGCATTGTACGTGTCTTCCAATCATTAATGTTGAAAATATTTGGAACAATACGTACACAAAATTGGCAGAAATCGGGCACACTTAGAAAAAATTATTATCGGCTGGTAGCTCTACGTTACCTTTTTATTGTACCATGGTTCTACCATGGTTACTACAATGCAAACCATGTCTATTTTGTTTATTTTTCTGTTCCAGAACCTGCAATAATCTACTTGATTTTCGATATCGGTTATCGTAGTAAACATTTTGAAACCCTTGCAATTCTGGAAGATATCATATATTTGTTGCTTTTATGTAGCCCATGGAAATGCATCATGAATAGTAGAAGAACATAGGGAACATTGATATGTCAAATTTTTTTAAAATTGTTCTTCAAAAATAAGTAGATTTTTTATGTTTCCTAATATAATGCAATCAGAGTTTGTGTGATATGCATTTTACAACAGTTTTAATGAATTTGAATAAATTTCCATTCAAAATTGGTTTGGCAGTTCGTTGTCCCAGCAGCTGTGTCGATGCGGCTACATTTATTCTTCTACCATGTGATCTGTTCCAGAACCTGCAAGAATCTGAAATTTTTGCAATTTTCTTTGATATCCTAAAGGGAAAATCGGTAATCTTTGTAAAAACTTTTACATTATTGCAGTTCTGAAACAGACCAATGGTATCATGGTAGAATTAAGAAGGTAAGGTCATATATCATATCATATGTTTACAATTGGCCTGTTCCAGAACTGCAAAAAGTTTTTACTACAATAATTTTCATCTCTTTGTCAAAATGTATATTTATGAATTCTTTGTACATACCCAAGCCAGAGATGGGAATCTTTTTTCTATGCAGTGAAATTTGACAAAGTAAATTACAGAAAATGCAAAGATGGGTATGTTTATTAGAAATTACAGAGATGGGAATCTTTTTTCTATGCAGTGAAATTTGACAAGGTAAATTACAGAAAATGCTGAGATGGGTATGCTTATTTGAAATTACTTTATATATAAATAAGTGGTCTATTATGAAACCTTTTTAACACGTTTTATGGTACGTAAAAGAAAATATATAAGGAACGTGTGTATAACCACATTTTTTGCGGTTAGAAACTACCATGGTAGAATAGAAGATAAAGTCATGCAATCATATGTTTAAATTTTTTTTCGAATTATATATTTGACAACATCTCATTGTCAAAATTTATGTTTACAAATCCATTGTAAATGCAGAAATCAGAGATGGCAACCTGTATTCTATACAGTGAAATTAGACAAGGTAAATTACAGAAAATGCAAAAGAAGGGTTTCCTCCGCCGTATTTTTTCAGTATTTTATTCATTACTTTGAGCATTGTATAAAAATTAAAATTTACCTTCTTTTCCCACAAAGGTAAACAAGGTACAACAATATAATAACACAATATAATCAAAGGAAATAAAAAACATGTCAGTGTGTGAAAGAAAGAATTTGATGTCATATCTAAAATTCTGACATACACACCGAAATACACATGTTTGTTCCTCTCAGCTGATGTTTGTTTACGTACACACATGGTACAATAGAAAGGTAAGGTAGAGCTACCACCGATTTTCCCTCTATGATATCGAAAGAAATTGCAAAACTAGGAGATTCTTTCATGGTACTAGGACAGGGTAAAAAATTAGCGGAACAAGATGAAGAGTTGCAAGAAGAAATTTTGTACAACAAGAATTTCCAAACTCTTAGTAAAGGAACTGTCAAAATTTCTCTCTCTAATCGATCTCTTTTACAGAACGTCTGCAAACAGTAACAATTTGCATCAATTATTACAAGAGGTGTGGATCAGGCTCCTAGATATATAGAGAAAAAATTTTTGAAAATATATTTTTTAATTTCAAAAATACACGCTCGCATGAATTACTGGCATTTTGTCGTATAATATCGAAAGAAAAACCCAAAATAAAATATCGATGCTATCGATACTGCCATCGGTTGTTTGCCAGCTCTAGGTCCAATGACTGAAAGTTAGTATATACCTGTGTGTGTATTTCTTTTGTTAGTCATTATTGCAATTTGCGAAAAAAAGAATCTGAACGAGGAAGCAGTGTATAAGACTTTACTTATTACATTCGGGAAATACTTGCAAAAATTCATAATTACGCTAAGGAAAATTAGGATCATTTGTTTAGAAGTCAGTATATTTATCACAACATATTAAACGTCGCTCCGAAAACCGAACAAAGGAAAATGGGAATATTTGGACAATCCTCCGGATTTGATGCGGATGTTGGTAAGTGGAGGATAAAGTGGGGGATAAACGCAGAAAGCCGAGGAATTAATTGGATTTTGGTTGCGCATCTAGTTTGCTTCGTCAAATGCAATAGACGACAAAATACTTGCTGACCTGACCACGCACAAAATTTCTTCAAAAGCCTGGAAAATATAATAAATTACGAATGCGCAAATAAATAAAGATAAAATTTCGCGATGATGTTCAACTTTTTATTATTTATAACCCCTTTTTTATTTTGTCCTGTTTTAGAAAAGGCCACAAGCGAATCAAACACCAATGAAAATTGGGCATTAATACTTGATGTGTGTGACAAGACGTCTTCGAATAGTCGCAATGCCAAAGAGTGTTTAAAGGCCATTATGAAAAGGATGGGCCACAACGACCCGCATGTCGTTATGCAAGCCATTACATTACTGGATGCATGTGTAAACAATTGTGGCAAACCATTTCATTTGGAAATAGCGTCTCGCGAGTTTCAGAACGAATTTCTAAGGTTATTAGGAAAAGTGCAACCGAAAGTAGCTGCGGTAAGTTGGAAATATGTTTCATTATCCATAATATATATTGTATAATGTTTCTTGTGCAGAGAATGTGCCATGTATTGAAAGGATGGGCGGAGGGCGACTTCAAAAGCGATCCTGAACTAAATCTTATCCCATCTTTATACACTAAACTACGTCAAGAAAATTATGATTTCAGTGGTTCGAGTGACAAACCAACACAATCTACTGCAAAAATGGTCACAGCTAAAGATCCAAATGCAACTCGACAACAAGAGGAAGACGACTTGGCCAAAGCTATAGAATTGTCTTTAAAAGACGTTAAAAATAGCCCGAAAAACATTGGTTCTTCATCCGGTGGCAGTTCATCCAGTTATGTAAGTAATTTCACATATACGTTTCTCAATTGACACATTTACGCCGTCAGTGCTGAGTGCAGAATATCCTAGAATTCGGTAATTTTCTATAAGTTGCTTCCTACCTTCCGTCACAACTCCCATTGCAAATGGACAACAGAAAACCCAACAGATTTGTTATTCATGTTGAGAATTTCGAAATTGTGTCCCCCATGGATAACAGAATTAGTTTTTACTCTAGTCTAAATTCATAGGACTCCCAATTTGTTGGTAATGTTAAAAGAATTCTCAAGAATTATGGACGATATTTCCCATCAAACATATATTTGTTACATCTAATATTGTAATTGTTGAGTTCTTAAACATCCTTCCATATAGATCATTTGACAAGTTAATTAATTGCGACTTTTAATATATTTTTAGCCATCATTATACCCATCGGTTTCCAATAATGCTACATCACATGTAAGTAATGCAGTGGAAACTCGCCAAGTTCGTGCACTATACGATTTTGAAGCCGCTGAGGAAAATGAATTGACATTTGCTGCAGGAGATATTATACACGTACTCGATGATTCGGATCCTAATTGGTGGAAAGGGTTTAATCAACGCGGTGAAGGTTTATTTCCTTCGAATTTCGTCACCGCAGATTTATCAGTGGATCCTCAACAATTGGAGATTAATCAGCAACACAAAATGAAAAAAAGTTCACAATTTGAAGAAGACACTAAGGAACTGCAGCACAAGACTGAAGCCGCAGCGGCAGCTGCTGCATCGCAGAAGATTGAGATAGACGAAAAGAAAATTGACCGTCTGTTGCATTTGATTAATGAAGCCAACCCTGAAGACCCTTCGCAAGATACAGAAGAAATGTTACGATTGGAACAAGAAGTACATCAAATGGGTCCGTTAATTGATACAGAGCTTGAAAGAGTCGACCGAAAGCACGCCCAACTGTCGCAACTATCTAGCGATTTGGTGGACGCTATCAATTTGTACCATTCTTTAATGAGAGATGATAGAAATTTAATGGGATCTCCTTACGGCGTGAATAACGTGTCTAGTGTTCCTGGCATGCCGAATTACCATAATATGCCCCAACATGGCTACAACATGTTATACGGATCCAATGCAGGATTTATTGGAGGGTTTAATAGTGGACCGCACAGTTTACAGGGTAGTCTGCCATCAGTGGCTTTTCCAACAACTGCTAATTACCAATCAATGAATATATCGATGCAACCGTACCAAAGCAGCCAATCGAACTCACAATCATCTCAACATCAAGGTCTTAATGGACAATCGAATTCGCAGATAATTTCCCAACAGCCCTTATCTTTACCACAAAATCATTCCCAGCAGCAGATTTATATGGCATCCAATGGCCAAATACAAGGATCTTCTGCAAATATACCTGTTTCAGTTGATACACAGCAGCTCCAAACGTATCAGGTTCCACAACATTATGCCATACAAACTCAATCTCCTTCGGTTCCAACAAATACCATGCCGACAAACCAACAGGCGCCACTAACACATCCCACTCAGAATCATCCGCAATCATACTTCAGTTCTCCGCAGCAAAGTTCTCTTCAACAAACACCACAGTCATATGTAAATAGTTCTTCCTCTCAGCTTCTGTCAGACCCTACCCCTATATATGTCCACCAAAATCTGCCAACAAATGGTCCACCTCAATCTACATTTGTAGGTCCTCAACAACAGGCTTCGCACTTGCCACCTCCACTAGACGACCAATTTGGCCAGCTGCAGCACCAAATGGCAAATATGACAGTTACTTCGCAACCTTATCAGACAAATATGCAACAAAACATTCCAGTTTACAATCAACAGCGGTAAAACACTAAAAAAAGTAGAATGCATGTTGTCAACAGAAATATAGATATGGATCATCTTCGTTTCTATCGTCCCCCGTACAGAAGTTATTCAAATCATACAGTTTTTAATGTATATGAATTTATTCTAGTAACGCTAGAACGCAGTTTCCTAAAAGAGTTTTTTTCCTACGCTTTGGCCACATGTTTTAAAAATGGAAGAGACGTCAATGTTATTTTATCTGGTATTCAATATTATTCTTGCATACATTCATAATTAAAAAAATATATATATATTAAAACTATGTTATTTAAAACTTGTCATATTACATACATATATTAATAAATTAGAAAAAGGTTAATAAAATGCATTGATCTATCATTTTAATATTAATGTTTTGAGGAGAATATTATTCAATGAAATATGCAAATTAGCATCCTGCAATTTTCAATATGTTCGCAAACTTAAATGTGAAGTAGCTGCAGAAGTATATAAAAGTCGATACGAATTACGTACCGCTCGCACTAAGCCCCACACATTTCTATGCCAGATGTACACAAACAAGTCTAGTATAATGTACTTCGGATGTAAGTTGCCGTGCCGTATCTAACGTTTGCCGTTATATGGGGGCTATACGAAAACGTGGACCGACGTGGCCCATTTACGAACTTAAACTGCCTACTGGCAAAATAAACACGTGTGCAAAAATTTATCCTTCTATTTCAATTCGTTAGAAAGATTACTACAGAGAGACGGACAACGCTGAATCGACTTGGAATTATACGCTGATCAATTGTATATATATTTTGTAGGGTCTACAATGTATATTTCGAGGTGTTACGAACGGAATGACAAACATAATATATATATATATATATATAAAAAAGCCATGAATACAATTGTTTCTTTTGGTAGTCTTGTAATGTTACAACTTGTAAGTGCATGTATAGTTTTGAATAAAAAATTTAAATTCTGTTGAAATTTAAACTCGCAAATTCCCGCGCGTTCAAGCGCATTAAAAATGTCTACATCAGAGGGCTGCAATGAGTATGATTGAGTAGGCTTGATCACACACAGTGGAAATACAATCAAACTCAATCAGTCGGTCAGATGCAACATGTTCATTCGAGTTACTCAAGCCAAACGAAAAAGTTGTGATCAAGCATGTATTGATCGAAGTTTTGTGATCGCAATCAAACAGCTCACATGAGTTATTTGTTTACGAACTTATGTTGAATTGTTCATAACGGGTCGATCATTTATGATGAGTCTGATCGGTTTTATTTATCCTAGTTAAGTGAGTGATTTGATTTGATTAAAACACAAATGTTCGAATTTGAGCGAAATCATGATTGTAATTTTACTAAGGATTTCATAACTAAAAGATGTCCCCATTAAAGAAATTGATACAAATTATATTTAATAAGCATACAATTTTTCATTTTATTTGGGTTTTTGAGTATGCTAGACTTCAGTAACTTATTTGCAAAAAAAAAAAAAAATTAAATTTTTTAATAAAGAAACACATAATTGGTATTTAGAAAACTAAAAATGTTTAAATATTTTTTTTTTAGAATATTGGTCATGATTTTTCACCAACTTCGACCTTTTCGTTTACCTACACCTGTGTAGTTTCTACTTGCAACAATTTCGGTCGCACTATCACAATATTCTTCCATTTCAAATATCAAAAAAAGTCAAAATAAACTGTCCCAACTTGATTAAATGGTTGAATGAACAATGACGCAGAGCGAACTCGATTCAAAGAAGACAATCACGGTTGTGATTGCTCATTTACATTCATGTGTAAGATCAACTCATGCTGCTGATCACATCAAACCGTCTCGAACGCTCATGTTTGATTGTGAGTGAAGTGATTCAAACTGAGCGTTCGATTCGATCAGAAGCGAAAACGGTCATTTCATTCAGATCAAACTAAACGACTGCATCAACAAAAATCATGTAAGAAACCGAGTATGCTTGAATTTTTGCATACTCGTTGCAGCCCTCTGGTCTACATAATCTGGATGGTTTTATATTTTACATCCCTTTCGAAGAAATCCGTATCAGATTTGGAGTCGATCTAGAAATACCCGTCCGGCTGATGCACACGATAGCTCTCGTGTGCATCAGCTATACACAGAAATCAGAGATGGGAACGTGTTTTTTATTCACTGAAATGTGACAAGGTAAATTACAGATAATGCAGAGATGTAGAGTCTTATTTTAAATTACTTTACCTTCTCAATTTTGCCCTGTTTTTTGTCAAACAAAGATCAAGTTGGGAGGTGGCTATCTCCCTCCAAAAAAATCAAATCCAAATTTTTAAAAATAAATATATATTTTTCAAACTTTCCACATTTTAATGTATAAACAACACAGGTCAGGTGCGACTATGGACAATATTGGCACTCTCGGCAGCGTACCTTTCCCTCAAATGAAATCAATGTCCGATATTCTTCAAACTTCGAGCGTCCAATATTTTCTACCAACTTTACGCCTTCAATGAATATGTGAAATGTTGTCTTCTTTCTGGTAATTTCCCCACAAAGGGAAGTGGACACATGTCGAGATTAATAAACATTTTCGGGTTTTATTGTGAAATCAGCATCCGGACGTTAAGTTCGAGGAGTTAAAATCGAATGATAAACTTAATAATATAATCGCTAAAGGATGTTGGAGACTATAAAAAAGGAATATTTGGCACGCCAAGGTTGTTAGTTTTCAGACTCGACAGTGAACACAACAGCAGCGACATCAGGCAAAAAGTGCTCAAGTTCCGACTAGCGTCATCGGCAGAAGCAATACTCAGCCATTACCTTTTGACATCATCAATGCGTATAAATAGCCTCTTGTCCGATTTTAACTTAGATACTATTACCGCCATAAACTTAACTCTATAAATTCCTTTTCTTAAGCATCAGTTTCAATAGCTACCACAAACTCCAAAGCAGCCTTCAAAAACCAAAATAAGTATCTATTACAAAAAACAACATTGGAAATTAGAAATTTTAATGAAACAAAAAGTTGGAAAAATATTTAATTGAATTTGAAAAGTTTTTTCACAAACAAAAATGAAAAAAGGTAAAAACCATATGATTGTCAATTGCACCTTGAGAATTACTATTTTACATGGCCCAATTATAAGGTCGACAAGCAAAACCCGCTGATAACTACATTTTCTGTCAATATAATTCGAATTCGCTTTACAACTTCCACAAATGTCAATAATACTTGCTTTCTTTGTCAAAACATTTATTATTTACATTCCAAAAAAATTGAAAATATGAAAGAAAAGGGGTTTTTTGAATTAACTCCATGCTGCTGACACTGTGGAGACCCAATAATGTAATCCAAATGTTTATACAAAAATACACAAATGCTGTAGACACAGCTAAGGTCTTGCCAAGAATCCCTCATTTGTCCCCCATAAGGAGAATTAAAACAAAGGAACCAATACTAATTTTACAAGTTCTGTCCTGTCCTGTCCTGGGGACCTCTATCATTTGGGGGCAGATCTACCACACTGACGGCTGGCTAGCTGACAAATTTTTGCACCGGCGACAGCTCAGTCTATGGGGCCGCAGTTCTTGTCAATGTGCTAGACCTTGGAAGAGTGGACAAAAAACTAAAAATTATTGCTAGAGGGATGACAAAAAATGACAACGAATCATATGGCTTTTATAATAGGTTTGAATAACCGGTTAATTTGGCACGGTTTTGTAATGCACCGTGCCTGGAGAAATTCCCACCCCACCATGGTATCCCTGTTCTCCTATTCTATTTCCTGGAATACCCCATACTTCGCCCTACCTGTTTAGGACCTACGTTTTCTTACCTTGTGTCTAGTGTATTTCCATATTGAAAATCAAGAATTTCTAAATATCGTTATAAAATTTATTAATTTTAAAGTATTCAAAAAAAAAAAAAAAAAAAAACGCTATAGTTCATCCTCTTTAAATTGAATTCATGATAAATATATAAATTGTGCTCTTAAAAAAACAATAAAATATTTCTTATTTCTTTTCAGGGCTCGATGGCACCAGGAACATTCTTTCCTCTCCTTTAGAGTTAGAGGAGGCTGTGGAAGTGGCGTACATCGGGTATCAACCTTTTCCCAAATAAATGTGTATGTCTTCGTACGTTTAAAGTAGTTGCACTATAATTATATTCACGCTTATTATTATTTTATTTTTTTGCTTCCTTGTTTTTTTTTTTAATTTAATTTTTCTTTCTTTTTTTTTTAGGTAAAAAGGGCGAACAAAAAGGATAACCAACACTAAATTTGTCGGCGATAAGGGCAACAGTAGAGATGCTAGGGTAGCCTAACCCTGAATTGAGCTCGATTCGGAGTTCTGTACCTATTCCGCAAATACGGTAAGTCAAACTAACTCTAAATCCTTTTGTTTAGCCTTTCCTAATAATCTCTCTTTCTTTTCTTTTCATATGCGGAATCTAATTAATTGGCTTGTCGTCCGTCGGTCTGTCCGAGTATGTTGTAAGATTGTCTATTGGGATCGAGAATAATACCCATGCATGCCAGTCTGGTCATGCATAAACACTGCGCCTCCCTCGGTGGATTGAACGGTGTTGAGTGGACTCCCGGTGTGGCCTCCAGTCGTTGTTGATGTTGCTTTTGTCTTCGCGTTCCTTTGAGTTTTTAAAGTCTTTATGTATTGGTATTATTTTTTCATATTTTAAGCAGTGTTTATTTCCTGTTTTTTTTTGTATTACAGTTTTTCTTACAGCTTTGCTTTCGCTTTAATTTTTCTTTAAAGCACTATTTTGTAAGAGCTATATGTGTTAATATAGTTTTATTTAGCTCATTATTTTGCTTAGTTAAATATATAGACACACCTAATTTGTGAAAACCCCGCTATTTCGTTTTATTTGAAGAAAAATAATATTATAAAAACATCTAGTAATTCAATTATTTTCTGTGGCGTTATGTAAATAAATTACAAAGCCTGTGTGGGTACGCGAACGGCATTAGCGGACACTTTCTGTCTGTCTTTTAGGAAGGAATTTAAACATTTTTATCGGGAATGCTGAATTGAGCAAATTACCTCGAGTCCGTTTTCACCATGGTTAAATGCTTTAGCAGAATTGTCTGGGCAGACAGTTAAGAAAATGTTGTTGAAATCGTCCGAGAGTAATTCTGATCCCAATCTAGCTTTATTGCAGAAAAAAACGACACCCAAAGGTAGTTCCGTAGAAATATAACATATCATGGAATATAAGACTTATTGGTGTGTAAAAGAAAGATATTGTTTATGTTAATATATGTAAGAGTATGTGTATGTCATGAATACACATTATCATGGTACATTAAAAAGCCATGGTAGAATTAAGAAGGTAAAGTATTTTAAAAAAAGCATTCCCAACTCTG